ATTGATTAGCTGTCTCCTGCAAGCTACCTACTGGGGATTGAGCAAAAGGGCTGCAATAAATGAGTCATCGTTAACATAAAATAATAGAACATTTTCATAAAAATTAACATTTTTTCTTGAACATTAACTTACCAGACACTGAATAACTGCACAAGTTAATAAGCGTAACACAAGTAAACCTATTTTTCTTGTTCTTCGAAAGTGATATATTTCCTGTTGCGCATGTCAAACAAGGCAGCACAAGACTAATAACATGGCAATCAGCTGCTAACACATTTGCTGCTAGTATTAGTGGAGAGAAATGGTGTGCCTGCGCGTAAGGGAAATGAATGCAATACAATTATAGTAACCGGTCATTAGCAAACCTTCGTTATTAATAATTATGTGTAACAGATTATTGTAAAATTAGGTCACAAAATTTTTATTAAAACGTTTTTTACATACTAGTACTGTTATATTGACTGGGCTGCAAAAATATTTGTTGTGGGCCGTATGCGCCCGTGGGCCGAGAGCTTGACATGCTTCTAGACCCTTGCTTTCCTCTTTGGTACTTTGGGGCTTGCTCAGTTCACACCTACACTTCCTTCTCTACTCCTAACTCCCATTTACTTACTTCCTATGTCCACATATTTCTATACTGTGAGTAGATTATCACTTCCATCTGGGTAAAAAAAATATCTCTTCTTCATCATTTTAGGGCAAGCAATGAGATATAGGAAAACAAAACAAAGGAACAAAACAAGCTTTGTAATCTGACAAGGGAAAGTTTGAAACCCAACAGTCACTTGTTCTGAACATAGGAAATGTCCACTTATCCTTTTTTAAAAAAATATATTTTTATTGATTTCAGAGAGGAAGAGAGATAGAAGCATCAATGATGAGAGAGAATCATTGATTGGCTGCCACCTCCATGCCCCACACTAAGGGTGTGGGGCCAGAAACTTGGGAATGTGCCCTGAGCAGGAATTGAACCAGGACCTCCTGGTTCATAGGTCAACGCTAAACCACTGAGCCATGCCAGCCCGGCCTTGGAGTATCCTTAATCCCTGACAGTTTAGCAGTGAGGAGTGATCTGAGGAGGCCATTTTCAAACTTTTTGTAAGGAAAGAATTCTTGTTTGGGAGTCAATAGGTTAAGACCTCAGGCAGTAGAATTAGGCTGACCTAGACTTACTGAATTTTAAATGTTTATTGAACTTTTAAAACTATTAGTTGCTGACAGATGGGAAGGTGTTAGTTATCATTAGTACAGATGAGAAGCTGGAGGTTTTTGTGTGTGTTTTTAAAATTCTCACCTGAAGACATGTATTTTAGGGAGAGGAAGGGAGAGAGAGAGGAAGATCCATTGATGCAAGAAATATCCATTAAGTGCCTCCTATATGTGCCCCAACCAGGGATCCAACCCAAAACATGGGTATGTGCTCTGACCAGGAATGGAACCTGCCACCTTTCCATGGGATGACTGAAAAGACGGAGTTTTAATTGTTTAGTAACTTCCTTAAGAAAGAAGATGTTGCCTTAGCTGGTTTGGCTCAGTGGATAGAGCGACGGCCTGCAGACTGAAGTTTCCTGGGTTTGATTCTGGTTAAGGGCACATGCGCGGGTTGCAGGCTTGATTCCCCAGTAGGGGGCGTGGAAGAGGCAGCTGATCAATGATTCTCATGGTTGATGTTTCTATCTCTCGCACCCTCTCCTGTCCTCTCTGAAATCAATAAGAATATATTTATTTTTTAAAAGAACGATGTTATGTAGTACATGAAACCTTTTTTTGCTTTCTTCAAGTCACCAATCTGGCCCTGAAATTGAACTGTTTCTGCAAGTTCTGGCTTTAAATCCCTTCACTCCTATGGTTCAGAAGTCTCCTTTTGTTTTTCCCTTGGAATTTTTCTGAAGTTTTAACTTCCCAAGATCTCCTGAGCCACACCTTAGATAATTATGTTAAAAAGCTCACAAAAAAAAGGCCAGGAATGGTATTAATCCATTCATACCACGGTGCCCTCATAACTAAAAACACAGGTAGCATTCACAAATTGTGGGGGAGGGAGAAAAAGGAAGGAGGGAGAAGTTCCTTTGGTTGACCGGAAGTAGGAGGAGACTTTTTAAAGCAATCTTGGGCCAGGGGCCATTTCAGCAGTAAAAACGTTTTCTTCGTCAGCCCTGAATTCTTTTCTGAGTATGGAAAATGCAAAAGGCAAGAAGGTAAGGATATTTCAGTGGCTTTGTTTTGTCTTTTTGTGTTACACTCTCACTGTCAGTGCATTAATTCTTTTATTTATTTATTTTTTTGGTAAGAGAACATTTATTGGGTAAATTACAGAGGTAGAAAAAGTAATTTCTAGAAGAAATGGGTTTAGCAAACAAGTTTTAGAGGTAAAGGAGAGTGAGGAAGCTGATGGTAAGGTGCCTGAGGCAGGGAGAGGGGGGGGGGGGGGGGGGGACACGAACGAGAAGCGGGAGGGGGGAAGGAAAGTCCTAGATATGATTGAAGCCTGCTGTTGGAGTGAGGAAATAAATAAGAAATGAGTTGGCTGTTTTTGGTTTTAAAGAGATGCTTTATCCTGTCAAAATAATCAGGTATCAGGGCTAGAAGGAAATGGTAATGGCAGAAAAAGAGAGGTGAGGAAAAGACTTTAGAAAGAGGCGGTTGACTAAGGCTGGGAGAAAAATGAGATCCTAACCTAAACCAAAGGTGCTGTGTCTGAGCTGGTCTTTGCCTGGGGTGGTTCGAGCCAAGACATAATTAGAAGCTGTACATACTGGTGAGCACTGCAGACAGAAACTAAAGGTGGAGAGGCTTTGAGGTTAGTACTGTGGGGGCTAAAAAATATATTTTCCCTCCTACCTTCTAAATTCTTCTGGCTGGGCTAATCAAATTAGTGGAGACAGATTAACAGGGAATTCACTTAGGTGTGAAAATTCCCGAAGGCGGTGAGGTAACATTGCCATTTTGGACAAAATAGAAAAGGGTGTGTGGTGGGGGGAGGGGGGAGGGAGAGCTCCTTGAAGCAGTTTCTCTGTCTGAAGCTCTTGGGCCTGAGGGGGTCAAAGGTTCTTTCCGGCGCTTGCTTTGGCGGCACTTATACTAAAATTGGAATGATACAGAGATTGGCATGATCCCTGCGCAAGGATGACGCACAAATTCGTGAAGTGTTCCATATATATAAGTTCTTTCTGAGACTTGTTTCTTTTTTAAAAAACATATTTTATTGATTTTTTACAGAGAGGAAGGGAGAGAGATAGAAAGTTAGAAACATCGATGAGAGAGAAACATCCATCAGCTGCCTCCTGCACACTCCCCACTGGGGATGTGCCCACAACCCAGGTACATGCCCTTGACCTGAATCGAACCTGGGACCTTTCAGTCCGCAAGCTGACGCTCTATCCACTGAGCCAAAGCGGTTTTGGCTTGTTTCTTAATAAACAGCTTAAAATCAATATCCCAAAAAGGCAGCCTCAGGGTGGCCAAAGTTTGGTTTCTTTCAGTACAGAAGAATTGAACAACTCTGCCCAGAAACCTGATCGATCACTCTTGGGATCTCTTCCTAGAACCGGGTCATTTTTGCCCTCTCAATTTTAAGATTTTTGTGAGGCCCAAAAGTGAGTATTTTGTGAAAGAGCTTTGCAAATGTAACATTTGAATATGAATGTTAAACTGCTATAGAGTTGTAAAAATGCCATACAAATGTTAATTTGTCCAGTACTCCCACCTGGATGGATGATAGAAAGGCTTTAGATTTGGGAGCAAATTGACCTTAGATTTAATTTTATCTAAAATTCTGTGTGCCCTTAATTTTGTAACCTTGGTTATCAATACCTAACAGAAGATAGAGGCTCAACAGAGGTCAGTTTCTCTGTTCCTCCGTATCACCCAACATTATCATCCCCACTGTTCTCTTGTTTCTTTTGATTCAATTAACCAATGAGTATTGAGTGCCTATAATGAAAAGTAAAGAAATTCTACCCTGGTGGAGCTTACAATCAAATGGAGTAACAGGCACTGATCAAATAACAAGCAAATGTAAAATTGCAACTGACAAGTGGTGGAATGAGGAAATAATGTAGATTTGCCATGGTCTGTAAAGACTAAAAAGGATTACCAGGTGAATTGAAACTGGAAGTGAGAGTCAAAAAGACTAAGTTTTAAAATGTAAATAGAACTGGGTGGGGGTGGAGCTGGGGGAAATCTCTTTATTTTTATTTATCAGTTCTTTTTTTTTTTTTTTTAATCCTCACCCAAGCATCTTTTTCCATTGATTTTTTTAGAGAGAGGGAAAGGCAGACATATCTGATGTGAAGGAAACACATCCATTGGTTGCCTCCTACACGCACCCCAACCAGAGCCTGGGCCGGGGAGGAATCTGCAACCAAGGTGCTTGCCCTTGACTGGAAACAAACCTGGGACCCTTTGGTCTGTAGGTCGACACTTACAAACGGGCTAGGATAGGGAAATCTCTTTAGGTCAAAGTAACTGTGCTGGGAAGGAAAGCAATGCTGAGAACTGAAACTTGGGGCAATGAAGAATAGTAGAAAAATAATACTGAAATGGAAAATAGGCTGATATGTTGTATTAAGAGCATTTGATTATCTTGATATTTTCCTGCTAAGAACCATAATGGATGTATAGCATCTCTATGGGAATCATTTTTTGGAAGAGGTCAAGAATAAAGAAACAGGGTGGGCAGGGCGTGGAAATCTTCCCGGTGAGATGTAAGGATAATGTGGGTGACATAAGGGCTCCCTCCAAAGCAGAGCATAATTTTCTCTATTTTATTTGTATCTATATTTTGTGTCTTTTCTTGTACATTCAAATTGGCCTTCTCCCATTTCTCCATCATTGTTTTGCTGTCTTATACATAAACCTGAGCATTAAGATGATACCCAGAGAATACACGCAGCCAGTGGAGTTCAATGACCTTCAGTGACGGTCTTGGTGTCTTGGGTGTGGATGACCTTAAGGCAGATAGTGTGATGTGGTAGGTCAGGCTCCAGAGGAATGACTGGATGGCTCTCTCTCCCCAGCAGAAGTCCCCAAAGAAGTCAGGGGAGCGGCAAATAGCTCCAAAATCCCAACCAGTGCCAACTGAAGAGAAACATGGGGCTGCTGGCGAACCAAGTGAACAAAGAACCTCAGGGGTGGAGACCAAACGGAAGAGATCTAAGAAAGATGACAAAGGTAAGAGGTGCACAGCCCCTCAAATCCCATTTCCTTGGTTTAAGCCTGAGGAACTTTTCTGGAAAAGGAAATGTATGTTTGTCCTCTACTCTGCAAGCCGTATGCTTTCTTGGAAGCCTGGCTTAAAGGTCACCTCCCCGAAGCCTTCTTTCAGTCACCTCTTAAAACTTATTGCTTCCTGTCTCCAAACTCCCACAGAACATTTGGTTCTAATGATCATTTTGCTTCCACTCTGACCAGGAGAAAATTCTGAGATGTCCTCAATTACAGCCGCCCGAGTGGGAGCGAGAGACAGAACTGTTGGTCTGTTGATGTCCAGAGGCCAGCTAAGAAAGGACTGCTCACATTCTGTCTGGTTGGAGCTTGGATTAAATTCCCGGTCGTATTTCTACAGATTATTTTAGCCAAGCACCATCACACTCCATGAGCCACCGCTGTGTCTTTACGTGTGGACTTTCTGACTCTAGGCCTATCCCAGTCCTGGCCCCACTTCACTCTCTCCCACCCCCTTGCCGATGGCGAATGTAAATTCTTGCAAGTGGCTGTACACCTACCTTTCTTCCCCCTCCCTGCTTCTTAATGTATAAAAACACTTGTAAACTCCCAAGTCGATGGACATGTTTGTCTTTTCCACCTAGACAAGCTGCTGGTGGTTTGGACTTCATGTCCCAAGACCCATCTCCTCTTTAGCTAGCATTTCTGGCTCAATGAAACCTTTCTTTAAAAAAAGACTTTCAACCATGGAAATTAAAATTTTTGTTTTAACTAGCTGCTTGGAGTTAAGGACCTCGATATGCAATGACTTGGGGCAGACCGATGCAGGTTTGAAATTACATTCTTGAAATTCACCCTGGCCAGTTTGGCTCAGTGGATAGAGCGTCAGTCTGCAGGCTGAAGGGTCCCGGGTTCAATTCCGGTCAAGGGCACATTCTTCGGTTGTAGGCTCCCAACCCTGATAGGGGTACGTGCGGGAGGCAACCAATCGATGTGTCTCTCTCACATCACTGTTTCTCTGTCTCCTCTTATCCTCTCCACTCTGTCTAAAAATCAGTGGAAATATATCCTCGGGTGAGGATTAAAAAAAAATAACATTCTTGAAACTCCACTTTCTATTTTAAAAATCGAGGATAATATCTGCTAGGCTGAGTCAGGGGTGGAAGTTCAGTTGTAATTTATACATAATAATTGGGTAAAACTTCCAAACTATACCCAGCGAGTAACGTGGACTCCGTAAATGCTGGTGATTATTAGTGTAGACGTAATTGTGTCTGTTCTGGAGCTGTGTTCTGTAAGTCCTTTCCTAAGTGGTGTGTGCGGGGCGCAGCAGGAGAGGAGGCCTGTGTATCAGGACAGCAGTGCTGCCCTGATGGGCTGGGCCGGCAGATCTGTGGGTAACAGGAGTTGTGCTGCACTGTGCTGAATGGTTTACTGTTTTGCGAGAGGACAAGGCATCACTGCATGTTTATGATCTCAGTTCTAAGACTTCCCTCATTTCCCTGGATTGGAAGGACGATCTCTAAGCAACCTCCTTGGAATCTGTGGGTTAAGGAGCTCACAAGTGTGTGTGTGAGGAGTGGGGAGTTTTAGGAATTAAAAACTGGGGAACTCAGAAGTATTAAGTCTTAGGTGTGAGGTCTGTGCCTTTGAGGTTTTGTGGTCTTGGGTAAATCATTTAACTGTACACTGGGGACTGTACTATGATAACTAAAAGTGACTGTACTTTTGACATTTTAAAGGGTCACGTAAGAGTTAATTATTAATAATTTCATCCCATTCTCCTTCAGCTTCTTGTCCACAAAAGGTGGCACAGGAAAATAAAAGAGTAAGAATTCACAAGAAGATACCGATTCCTCCGCTGCCCCTTCACTTGCCACCAGTTAACCTGATTCACCGAGACGTCGTGAGGGCTTGGTGCCAGCAATTAAAGCTGAGCACCAGCGGCCAGGTGAGGGCCCAGGCTGTTCGTGCGGCTGGAAGGAAGCGTGGGAACCTTGATCTAATTATTAACTCATTTTTCTCTTGTCTTAGAAATGGGAAACATATAATAGGCTGCGTGCATATGCTTACCCTAATCAAAAGGTGAGTAATTTGTAAGAAATTTGGTAGAATGGAAGCTTCAGTTCTCATCCCTAATTACCTATTTTAGTATGAATAAGTAGTAAAAGAATTGCCCTAGCCCTTCTTTCCCCCTCCACTCCTAAAAGGCACAACATCCCCATCCTCAGTTTTCACTAACTCTGCAAAGAATAATAAAAATGATGCTGTGCTTCTTTTTTTTTTTTTTATATGTTTTTTTTGGTTGGAGAGAGAGAGAGAGAGTTATTAATTTAAAAAAATGCTTTTATTGATCTTAGAGAGAGATGAAGGGAAAAGGGAAGAGAGAGAGAGCGAGAAACATTGATCTGAGAGAGAAATACCAATCAACTGCCTCCTGCACTCCTCCTGGGGATAGAGTCCACATCTTGAGCATGTGCCCTGACCAGGAATTGAACCATCAACCTTGTAAGACACACTAGCCTGGGTGCGGCTGCATTTATTTTATTTTAATTCAGACAGTAAGGGAGCGGGAGATAGAGACATCAATGATGAGAGAGAATCATTGATGGGCTGCCTCCTGCACGCCCCCCGATTGGGGATCGAACCCACAACCCGGGCATGTGCCCTGACCAGTAATTGAACCATGACCTCCTGGTTCATAGGTCAATGCTTAACCACTAAGCCACACCAACTGGGCAAGGCTGCACTTCTGATAACACTTTCATCTCTCTAATTCTACTTGTAGGATATTCCTATCAAACCAGAGGAGGCAAAGATATTGACATTATCACAAAGGAAATTGAAGATGCAAAAGGGGGAAATGAGTCTGGACAGTTTTGGTCTTCCTGAACTGACTGGTCCCCTGGTGGGGGGTCCTGCTCCTGATGGGGGTGCTACTGCTCTCCTGGAGGGAATGGACAATATTTTTGTGACAACTTCCACCCCGGATGATGTGTTTGCCTCCTGGAGCAGAATTGCAGCCACTACTGGGAAGTCTGGGAAGATGGAGAAAGTGAGGTCGCCACAGAAGGCCTCTGGTAAGCCCCATATCAAAGCTGGTTCTGGTTCAGATGAGGAAATAAGTTTAATTGATATTATTATTTAATGGTTTTTTGTTGTTAATCCTCACCTGAGGACATTTTTTTTCAGAGAATGGAAGGGAGCCAGACTGACAAACAGAGAGAAATATTGATGTGAGAAAGACATCAATTGGTTGCCTCCTGCACAAGCCTGGACTAGGGCTAGGGATCAAGCCTGCAACCAAGATACATACCCTTGACCAGAACTGTGCATTTCTGGCCATTTTCTCAGCACTACTGAGGATGCTAGTCGGGGGACCACCACTCTGAGAACCACTACTCTAAATTACTGGTGTCATCACAAAGGGATGGCAATCTGTTTGAATTAATTTATTTCCTCTTTAAGGAATTAGAGCATAACTGTTTTTGGCTCAGTGGATAGAGCGTCAGCCTGCAGACCAAAGGATCCCGGGTTTGGTTCTGGTCAAGGGCACGTACCTCAGTTGCAGGCTTCTCCCAGGCCATGGTCAGGGTGCGCAGGAGGCAACCAGTTTATGTGTTCCTCTCACATCAATATTTCTGATAATTTTCTCTCCCTTTCTCCTCCACTGTCTCTAAAAATCGATGGAAAAAATGTCTTCCCATGAGGATTTTTTAAAAAAAGAAAGAAAGAAGGGCAGGCTCTAAAATCAACTGCCTGAGCTGAAGCCCTGGGTCTTCTAACATCCATTAAATGAGAAACACTGATAGATTGTTGCAGCTTGTTTCCAGTTTTCACACCATAAAATGGGCTAAGAATATAATGCCTACCTCATACTTTTGTAAGAATTATAGAATAGAAGATATAATTAAGGAGGATCATAAACTGGTGAGCTCAACAAACTGCCTATTGAAGTACTCACACCCTTGGACCTATTTCATGAAGGCCATTCCAGACCTCTCTGGGTTAGTTTTTGGGTTTTTTTTTGTTTTTTTTTTTTTGGGAGGGGGGAGTTAGTCTTTCTGTTGAAGGAAACCAGAATGCGTCACCCACAAATTAAACTCTTTGACATAAAGAAATTTATTTTGAGGTGAAGGCAATTAAACTCAGAAAAAAACCCTCCCCATTTTCTGCCTAAAGGGAGGACGACATAAATTCTCCTTTTGCCAGACACTTGTCAACAGAGAGATGGTACCAGAGGAACCTGTGAGCAAACCATACTCTGTTAGTGTCCTCCCATGTATTTACCTCCCCATAGTTCACCACCCTTTGGGGCCTAAAACTGCTTTCCTTTGTCCTGTCATTTCTCCACAAATATATTGTTCTTTGTAGAAGATGTTATACAAAATGGAATTCTAAGCCGCCATTTCAAGTCCAGTTTTGTTGTGTTTTCTCCTACCTGGCATGCACTTCATGCATTAATAAAGTGTTTTTCTCTTATTAATCTGTCTTCTTTTTAGAATCCCAGCTGAAAGCCTAAGATTTGTAGAGGTAAAGTTTTGCCTCCCCAGCACCACCATCTACCCACTTGCAGCTTATACCACTTCCAACTATAGTTTTTGTTTCTTTTTAAAGTTATAACAGGAACTGTCTTGCATTATTTTCTAAAGGAAACAGGATACAGCAGGTCAAGTTAGAATTCCAGGGTTCATATCTCAAGAGCTAGCACTTGAGAAAGAATCAAAGACCAGGATGCAATTTTTGAACATGATTTGGTCTTGCTCTGTTCATACTTACCTCTTTTTCCTTCCCCAGGTTACAAGTGGTGTGTGGTCCATGGACAGAGTCTCCCTGCAGACACAGGGGTTTGGGTTCAGCTACAGTTTTATGCTGGGCAAGCCTGGGTCCCTGAGAAACCGGGGCAAGTGTGTTCACTGTTCTTGATACCTTCCTGCAACTTTCCACCCCCACACCTGGAGGATAACATGCTGTGCCCCAAATGCATTCATAGGTAATTACCTAGTTCTTTTCTACAAACTAAAGTGGGAGACAAGAGATGCATGTTTCTTCATCTTAATTAGCCCTGTATTTCAAGCAAAAGTTATCAGTAAAGAATATCAAGAAAATTATCACCCATTAGTATTTTCCTAGGAAAAAAACATTTATAACTATTTGGAGACCCATAATTTTAGAGAAACACACATTTATAATTACTATATTACAAATATATGCACTACACAGAAATAATGACTCCAAAAAAAAACCCATCTTCCTTTAAGTAGCCTACAGTCTAATGGGGATGATTGGTTTGTAAACATCCGTAAACATTTGATGCCATGTGGTGACTGGCATAGAAAAGGGGATTTATTTATTAATGTAAGGGAAGAACTGACTAGATGAAAAGCAGTAAGGTCATTTTTCAGTATGGGGATCAGAGCCAAGGCTGTGAAGGAACTTAGGACAACACAGAATTGAAAGTAGTTCATTGTGACAGAATATTGCAGGAAATAAGCCTCCGCTTTCTGTTACAACATATGCATGATAATGCCTATCTAAAGATATTGTAAAAAAAAAAATGAGTAAACAAGAAAAACGTACACTTGCAGTTGCGGGGAGGACAAGGAGTTGAGTCAAGCAGCTCATCCCTAGGTGATGGGCCACTGAAGGGTTTTAAGCAGGTAAATGGACTGAGGCTTACATTCCAA